GAGTTTCGCTACGAGGAAAGATGATACATAACTGTTGTTGCATGGTATGTGTCGTAGATTATTCCTGGATTGTTTGATCCGCCATAGAAACTGGCTCTTATGGTGTAAGATATGTATCAACATATAAGGTGGCATCAAGTATTGGTTATGACTGTTGTTGTCATTGTTGTCTCTTTTGTCGAACCTTTTGTCCTTGAATTTTTCCAACTAATGCTTCGATATCTGGTTTATAATCTACTTGATCTCTTGAATTGTCACTGTTCAAAAATCAAAACAAAATATATAAATAACTTTTTCGAAGTCCATGACAATAAGGCTCATTTGACAAGTGTCGTAAATTGTCAAATAAGTAATTATTAATCTCAAAATAAATAAAGATAAGCATAGCAATGAGAAGAAGGGTCGATCCACAAGGACTAAGGAGCTTTTGATGTAGAGTGGTTTTGATTTTGACTTTGGTAAGAAAGTAAAGAAAATGGGGGTGATTTCTATTAAAAGAGTTAAATAGAAAATAAATCAAAAATAATAAAACATGAAAATTAAACTAGAAAAATAACAAAGTAAATTTTAGTGAAAGAAATCAATTGAATGAAATAGCCTCAAGCCTCGTTTTGTCTCAATTCATTTCGACCATCGAAAGAGATTTTACTTCGGGATTCATGCCAGTTATAGTCTAAAAGGCCCAACCCTTGCAACTTACTTTTCTCTCCGATAAACCAAAACTCCCAAGTCAAACTTTGAAATTCAGTCCTTGTTTAGACTAACTATGGTTATCGTCGTTAGCATCAAAGTAAATTAAAGTGCATGAAAAGTTCAACTCATATTGTGTTTTCTTAATGAGAATCGAATCCGATCTAAATCTCCTTTGGTAGACCACCACAAATTGTGTTCTTAGGAAGTTGAATTTGCTACCAATCGATTCTTCTTCTTAACTTTAAATCAGAAAAACATACAGACCAACGTCGACTTTCTAAAATGAAAGTGTTAAGATTTTTAAAGGAAAGGTCGATTGTCAATCCTGGTTTTAGAAAACAAAGAATGATATCCAAAGATATTAAGTGCTTTTTCAATTCTCACAATATGAATTGAGTCATCGCTAAGCCATCGGCTAAATGAGAAAATTAGCTAAGCATGATAGAAATCATACTTATGATTTTTTAAAGAAAGTAAAGTAAAAGCTTTTAAAATAAAAATGGAAATGGAAAGAAGGAAAGCTTTTATTAAAGTAAAAGCCAAAACCAAATTGAATCCAAGTACAATTCAAACTTTTACCCTAAGGGGTATTTATAGCTTTTATATAAAAAAAAGGATAAAATCCTAAAGATATTCAAATAATAAAAATCCTAAAATGATAATCACGAAGTACTTCAAATTCAAATTTAAACTTAAATTCCTAAAAGATTATGTCCATCCTTTTCTCAGATAATGTTGACTGAACTGCCTCTAGAAACTACTGCTTACTAGACCTTCTAGAAACTGTCACATCAGATTGTTTCGTGTCTGATGTCGTGCCCATGTCTCCAACCACTATCGGATAGTAAAAAAATGCAAAATGCACCCTTCTTACTACTGGTTCTGGAAAATATATTATTGTACATAAATAAGTGAAACAGAACCAAATCAGTCGTAATAAATCGATAACACGAAAGAATTAACAAGTAAATGTATTCAATTTAAAACACTCTTCAAAAACCCATTAAAAATGGATAAATTGAAATGTTATCCCTAAACTAATTTGAATTTACAAAAAAGACTCATAATCAAAATTTTATCTAAAGTGTAAGGGTTAAAATAAAAATTAAACCATTTTACTTAACGGGCCACGACATCAAACTAACAACATTCAAAGTCAAAGCTACCAAAACTTAATAAAACGATAACGTAAGTAACCAAAACATCATAAAATGATAACGTAAGTGACCAAAACTTATATTTTTAAATTTAGTGAGCAAAAGTGTACAAATATGAAAGGAAAGTGGTCATTTATGTAGTTTACCCTTTTATATACTTATTGTGTCACGTCAATAAACCGTTAAAGATTTAACAGCAATTAGCCTTCAATTATCACTTCTTAAGTAAATGAAACAAAAGTGATCAATTCTGTTTACCCTTTTTAGTTTTATAGGATTATTAGTTAATTAAAATAGTAAATAATAGTAACATTTTTTGTTAAATTTATAATGTTGTTTTTTTCATAAAAACATCATTTTTATAATAAAGGTATAGATATGTCAGCATGATGAGTTAGGAAAAGTGTAGTTTCTAAAATAAGTCCACGTCAACATTTTAATTAAAATCATTAACCATGTTAATTATTTAAATTAACTAATAATATTATGTAAATATAGAGAAAAATCCTATCTAATTAAGGTACAGGGAATAAATCTAAAACATAAGCATAATAAAGAGATCAAAACAATAATTTGTCCCCACCTCAATATGGTTATAGTCAACCCTAAAATTTCACCTTCTTTATTTCAGACAATATAATAAACACTTTCTAACCGGGACTTTTCATAACCTGGTTCATATGAAAGGATAATTCAAACAGCCAAATTAAAGGAGGGGCCAACCCCAGATTGTCCTCTTCAAAAGAATAAGATATGAACACACGTATATATTAATGGGGATGTCCTACAATAATTAATAGTTTCCAACCATAGTAGGTGATTGGTTGGTAGAATTATTTGAAAACTAAATTAAGTATTATTTTAAACAAATTATACTTAAACTTTAATATGAAACATTTTTATTTAAAATAATTTTCATTTAATATAATTCAATACAATCTACCAAAGAAGAATTAGATCGTCTAAAAATTTCTAAAAGGTCTATTAAATTATTAATATACACGATAGGATTGTGGAATGGTTAAAGATAAAGTTTTAATTAATAAGTTAAAGCCAGTAACATTTTAGATCAATGAAAGAAACTGTTTTCTAGGATTTTGTGAAAATAAATATTGATCTTTACTAGATGAAAAAGGTTTGTAATTATTATGTTAAAGTAACTGGCATCTAAACATATTTAATATTTAAAAAATTATAAATATATATTATCTTATAATTATTATATATTAATAAAAATAATTACTATAGTGTACTTGGAAAATCACTATAATTGAACTCAAATTTAATTATATAATATATTATATGTTTAATTCATTATTGTATTTTATGGGTTCTTACAAGTTGAGTGTAATTAGAGGTATTTAATTATATTTTAAAAATTTTAGGATAAGTAAATATTGGTTTAATTAGGCAGTTAATCACATAAATTTTATAAAAGTATTATTTTAACATTTAAACTTATATATTTGTATAATTGTAAATGTATACTATTAAATATTAAATGGAAAATTCAAATATAATTATTTAAGGGATTTTAAATTCATTGATCGGTGTCAATAGTAAAATATGAATGTTGTTCTTTCTAAAAGTTTAGGGTTCAAGTAGTTGCATTTGCATGGTATATATAATGTGTTGTCAATTAATCAAAAATAATAATGTGTTGTCAATGGCTAAGAAAGAGTTTGAACATATATTACTTTGTAATCACCCTATATTATTTAAAATATATACATATATTTTTAAGGTTAGAATTCAATTACATAGTGTAAAACTAAAAGGTTTTACACCTTTTAGGATAATTGGATGAGGCAAAATCAAAGGCTGAGATTAATAATAGGAAATAAGAAGATATTCATTGGAAAAAATTAGGAGTTAATATCAACCTTTGATTTTCTCTCATCCAACGATCTTAAAAGGGTATAAAAAGAAAAGTTTTACACTATGTGTAAGTGGATCCTAACCCTATTTTTTATAATTATTAAGATATTAATTACCACATAATGTCACATACACACATGTATATATAGGGAATGATCAATTACACTGTGTAAAACTCTTTTAATAGTAAAAACTGAGAAGATATTCACTGGAAAAAAAGGAGTTAATCTCCGCATTTGGTTTCCCTCAATCTAATGGTCCTAAAAAGATGTAAAACTATAGGGTAAATTACATGATTTCTTACTGAATTTTACTCTCTCATATTTTATTCATTGTACTTTTAATTTTTCTAATTTACTCGCTTAACATTCAAATTGTTTCTGTTTTGACCACTCTGAATTTGTTTATTATTATTTTTGTACAATGTGGCATTTTTTATTATTTAATATAGAATAATTTAGAATATAAAATAAAAACAGAAGGTGGTCGGACGCTATAGTCAACCATAGATGGTGGTCGTTCAGTCCTGAATTTCATGGGTCACTTTGCTCGACACCATGAGTCTAAATTCGACCTCTATTTTGTCGGGACTTGCTACGAAGTTCACAAATTGGAGTTCGAAAGTGAGGAAGACAAAATATTTGAGTCAATATTTACGGGTATTAGGACATTTTCTGTGAAACAACCACTAAATTCGGACTCAGGGGGTCGAAATGAACTGACCCATGAAATTTGGGACTAAACGACCACCATCTAAAACAATTGAGGTGGCTGACAGTGGCGTTCGACCACCTTTTGTTTTTATTTTATATTTTAATTTTTTTTTATATTAAATAATAGAAATTCACTCTATACTATAATAATAATAAAATAATAAGATTGATCAAAACATGAACAATTCAAAAGTTAGTGAGTAAATTAAAAAAAATTAACAGTACAATGAGTAAAATAAGAGAGAGAGAACATAGTTATGTGAGGAATGATATATATTACCCAAAACTAAAAGAATTTTACCCCGTGTAAGTGAATCTTAACCTTATATGAGATATGATCCATTCTATACAAAACTATTTTAATTTTACACGTAATTTTTAGTACCATATATATGTATATATATATGAGGTTAAATTTTCAAAGTGATAGTTTATCTATAGAAAGAATTTTGTTTTTTTTTTTAAAAAAAAAAGAAGACTAATCTTTTAACGTGATTAGTTTCCAAGAAATCACATTTCTTTACAACTCTAAACATACTCTAAAATTACTGTTATCTAATTAAAATTATTTAAAAATTAATTATTACGTAGTTAAAAAATGGTTGACAGAGCTTGGAATCTTTATCGCATAGCCTCAAACCCCTTTCTGCTCTCTCACTGGATTCTTCAATAGTCCTGAAAAAACGCTCCCAGTATCAAGTCAAAATAATAAATATATATTCATCTTTAATGAAAAACAATATTAATCCCTTAAAATACCAGGATATTTTTGTGCCCTTCAGAATTGTACCTTGTACTACTCAAGTTTAAATTTTTCAGATTTTTTTCTTAAATTTAAAAGAAGTTTTTTAATATAAAAAATGTAATTGGAGGAAGGAATTAGACAAAAAAAAAAAGTTATACAAACAATAAAGGAAACGTGAAAAAGGAAACTGCTATGAGCAGGCGAATTAATATCTATAGCTGTTTTTATTCTCAAAAGAAATAATAACATAAAAACAAGAGCATTAAACATCAAATTCACCGAAAGAATCTTTCATTACAAAACAAATCAAACATCAAACTATTTCGTACTACATTCTGGTACTAACTAAACTAAGATTAAAATAAACCTAATCAAACCAGACTAAACATTATAGCTCAAATCAATTTTTTGATTTTCTCTAATATATATAGGTTGAAAATCTAATTATATAAGTTAAATTGTTTTTTTATATTAATTAAAGATCGTTGTATAGATGAAAATAAATTATTGAGAAAAAAATAAAAAAGCCATTGATGTACCTTGAGGTTTACAGTGAGTAGGTTCTTCGAAAAGAGACAAAGAGAGCTGTTTATAAGCGACACCAATGTCAAACAAAATAAGACCAGATATGGGGTCATCAACGATGATGTCCTTAATAGGCAACCAAAGGAAGAGTTCTTCTTGGCTTAAACCGACCACACCAATGAGGCTGCCGTAGCTAAGGTTAGCCGTCACTACAGTGTCGAAGAAAACCCTATTCTCGTACTTTGTCAAGCACGGTTCGTCGAGAAAGACTTGGAGGGTTCCATTCTCGGAGAGCGTGTAGGATTTCACTTCCTTTGGGAGAAAACCTTTTGGTAAGCCTCTCGAGACAAGTAGATCGTGGATTGAAGGCGGCAACGAAGAAGAAGAAGAAGAAAAATATGAGATTAAGGAAAAAATTGTGAGGAAATGAAGGAATTTCAAGGGGTTTGTGGTGTTTGTGATGAAATATGCCATGGATGATGTTTCAAATGCATAGAAGAGATGTGAAAAAATAAATTAGAATGAAAAAGGAGAGGTTTAGGAGGAAAATGAGTGTTTTTTTTAAGTTGGAAATAGTGTTTAAAAAAAGTTTATAAAATAGGAAATTACTCTTTTATCCTCGGTTGGTCAGTGGGGGACCAATTTACAAATGGAGGGGGTGGGTTAATTAGTTTTCTTGTAGTTTATCACGTAATGAACATTACTTGACATTTTCGGTACACCAATAGTGTGGTAATTGAGTTTAAAACAATTGTATGTTGTATTCATATTTATATATGATTTTTCCTTTTATTTTACCTAAAGAAATTCATCATTATTTTAATCTTATTTGTGCAATTTAGAAAACTTCACTAACAATTTACTTAATATTTTTCACACACACACACACACACACACATATATATATATATATATATATATATATATATATATATATATATATATATATATATATATATATATATATATATATATATATATATATATATATATATATATGTATGTATATATATATGTATATATTGCTTTAGTTTCCCAGTTTTGAATTTTTTTATTTCTCTAAAGTGATTACAAGATAATATATATTCATAATCTTTCTTAATCATTAGTAATTCACACACATTCTACAAACGCAACTATTCTAATCTAGAACTTCAAAAGAGAATAATATTTCTTTTAATCACAATAGGTTTAGTTTTCTAATCTAGAACTAAATTTAAACCTTACATTATACAAAATCTTTAAATAATCATATAATTGAATGAATTTGACAAAAAAAAAAGATAAATCACACATTCCTATAATTTGACTCGAACTTAAAATCTCACCTAAATGCTATGAATCATGTGTGTAAAGCTTTTAAAAATAGGAAATTGAAATTGGTTTCTTTGTCATGCAGAGGTTGGAAACTAGGAAAAAAGATTTAGGCCAAAATTTGATAAGCTTTTTATTCATATTACTTAATTTCTTTTTAAAATATTGCACTATTTTTTCTATTTTCCCATTTACTTAAATAACATATTATTATGATATTCTACTATTATATATATCTTAAGAAAAAATAATTGAGTCTTGACACGATTACAATATTAAAAAATTCCGAAACAAAAAATATTTTAATTATCATAATATCCCTATTAAGATAATAAAATTTTTAATCATTATGAGAATATTGTATTTAAAATGAAATTGTTCTACTGTTTTGAAATTATTTTTTTTTCTCCCACAAGCAAAACTCTAATAATTCAAAACAAAACAGAAAATTAGGGAAGGTAATATGGTCAAATCACATTGCAGTGAAGAGGACTGAAACTGTGCTAGTGCCCATTTGTCATAGGAAATGAACCGCAAACATGTGATCCCTTCCTCCAGAAACAGTTTTCTATTTTTTATGGTATATTTTAATTGGTTTAGATTGAGGTATATACTTTGTAAAGGGAATAATTGTTAGAGGAAAACTGAGAAAAACTGTTTCTGACAAAAACGTACAAAATAGGATCGCTGTTTACCTTTCTACCACTCAAGGAGAGGAAATTGGTTCGATGATAACAACTAGGGATGTAAATAAAACGATATTGATATCGAGTTATTTGTGTTTAATTTGATCGGTAACACCCCCAAATTGATACGAATAATCTGATCTGAATAGAGGTGTCACATTAGGGTAACTGGAGCGACCAACAATAAAAATTTAGGAAAATGTTAAATTTCTCATTAAAACATGTAAAATCATAAAATAATTTTATAAATAAAATACAAGTTTAGAAACTCATTCATATAAAATAATTTTATAACAACTATTTGGGTGATCGTGGATAGATTAACTAAGTCAGCTCATTTCATTCCATTACAATTTGATTTCTCCATATATAAGTATGTTGAATTGTATATCAGGGAGATTATACGATTGCATGGTGTACCTATTACAATTTTTTCTGATCGAGATCTAAGATTCACATCGAGGTTTTGTAAAACTTTGTATAGAGCGTTAGGAACTCGATTAAACTTTAGCACATCATTTTATCCTCAAACTGATGAACAATCAGAGTGGACTATTCAAATTTTGGAGTATATGTTGAGAGCATGTGTAATAGAATTCCAACGGTCGTGGGAAAAGTACTTGCCACTTGCTAAATTCGCTTATAACAATAGCTATCAGTCAAGTATTAAAATGTCTCCCTATGAGGCTCTACATGGGAGAAAGTTTCGTATGCCCTTGAACTGGTAAGCCCTTGAACTGGTACGAGCTTAGTGATCGATAAGTTCTTGGTCCTAAGTTGATTCAGGAAGTGGAATAAATGGTTCAAGTGATTCAGAACAATTTGAAAGCAGCAGCTGACAGACAGAAATCATACACGGATATAAAGAGAAAATAAATAGAGTTTCAATTTGGAGATAAAATGTTTTTAAAAGTATCTCTTTGGAAGAAGGTATTGAGATTTGGATGAAAAGGAAAGCTTAGTCCTAGGTTTATTAGACCCTATGAGATCGTTAAGAGAGTAGGACCAGTGGCATACTAAATAGCTTTGCCACCTGAAATGGGGAAGATACATGATGTCTTTCATGTTTCAATGCTTTGGAGATATAGATCCGATCCCTCCCATATTATGTTAAAAGAAGAGATAGAAGTTCAACCTGATCTGACTTATGAAGAAGAACCGATTCAAATATTGGGTCATGAAGTAAAATAATTACGAAACAAGATGATTCCATTGGTCAAGGTGTTATGGAGAAATCACAAGGTAGAGGAAGCCGCGTGGGAATTTGAAGAGGACATGAGGAATTAGTACCCCCATCTCTTTGTGCAATAAAAATTCGAGGATGAATTTTCATAAGGGGGAATATTTGTAACATCATAAACACCGGGTTACTGACCAAATTGTAAAACTTTAGAATTTAGTGGCTAATGTAGATAAATTAAATAGTTTAGGGACTTATATGAAAATTTTGTGTAGGATTAAATCGTATAGAAGGATGACTTGAAGGGAAAAATGGTCATTTGACCAGGAAATGAATTAAAAATGTGTATGAGTAAAGACATATACACGTAGAGATTTGAAAAAGGGAAAAGAAGATTTCTAGAGTTCTCTTTATCCTTCTTCTTTCTTTCAGCCGTGAACCCCAAGCTTGACAAGTTGAGTTTCTTGTTAGCTAGTTATTTATTGAATTTAAGTTTGGTTTATGTTCTTTGGCAATACTTAACCTTAATTTGTCATAAAACCAAAAGATGAAGGAGTTAGGAAAGATTAAAGGTAAGAGGGGGATGAATGAAATCATAGAAGAGAGTTAATAAAAAAAGTTTGAGACTAGAATTGGCTTGTCATCAACTTAATTAAGAAGTATTAAGTGTAAGAATTGAAAATAGAATATGTTGGAAATTTGGTAGTATTCTTAAATTCAATATATAGAGAGATTTTAAAGATAAATATGTGTTAGATGAATATAAATTGGTTTGAGTATGTGTACTTATGTTAAAAGTGTAAAAGGGAATAAGACAAGAAGGATTTAAGCTAACTTGGGTTAATTTTCAGGTTTCAAATGTGAAATTTGGGCTATGAGTATTGGTAATTCTTCATCCAGTACTGATACTTTAAGTGTAAAAGAGTGATATTTGGTATACGGGTATCGATACTGGTTGAACAGTATCGATATCATAAGCCTGAATTTGATAAGACATTCATAAAGTATCGATACTTGAAGGATGGTATCGATAACAGGGGTACCGATACCATAAGGTTAGCATCGGTACCATTTTTGAAACAAGGAATCCATAATACAAATTGGGTATCGATAACCAAACACGGTATCAATACCACAACTAGGGAAGTATCGATACCCTATAGGGGGTATCGATACTACTCCAAATGAAAAATGAAATTTTTCCTTTCTTTTAGTCTAAGAAATTAAGGATCGAACCATGATATTTGGAATGCTGGTACATATATAAATGTATGATTATGTAGATATCGAGCATAAGCAAGTTCTGGAAGAATCGAAGAGTTAGAAACGGTCAAGAGAGATAATGTTCTAGAATTGATTCAAATCAAGTGAGGCTAAGGTGAGTGAATACCATAGTTAGTATAGATATTGTTTTATGGAAATAAGACTTGTGATAAGTCTATTTCCTATATTTGATTTCATGATTTCACAATCATGTACATGCATATGTTATGATTATAATTAGTAAGTGCATAACTCATATTTGCTTTAATATGATATAATATGTGATGTATGCAACCATAAGAGAACAAATCCAAGTTATGTTTAATAAGACAAGTGATCATATGTGTACATGTGAAGTATATGATGTGTTTATAAGAGAAAGGATATAAGATATGTGAAATGTATCCATATTTATGCCCATGTTATATGATATGAGAGCTGTAGGTATAATTGGCATGCCAAGAGTCGAGGAATTTATGTGGTCCTTCGGGATATATATATATATATATATATATATATATATAATCCTTTGGAACATATGTGTGGTTCTTCGAGACACATATTTGGTCCTTTGGAATATATATGTGATCCTTAAGGAGTGGTCCATCGGGACATTTATGTGGTCCTTAGGGACATATATATTTGGTCCTTCGGGACAAGTTTTAAGTGCCCCTAGTGGTAATTCATACGAGCTGTGGTGACAACATATCTGCACAACCTTAGTGTACTCACGTACCTCATGTTCTCAGTAATGTACATGAGCATCCAAAAGATAAACTGAATTAAACACATCATAAGATTATATGTTTCATTTGTGCATTTTATGATTATGGATGTTATATATATTAATAAATATATGCAAATTATAATGTTATGATAGAATTATAAGAGTGCGTACTTCATGAATTCATTATTACATATGATATTTTGCCTCACTAATTTTGTGACTTATCATGTAATTAGTTTAAATGTAGGTGCCAAGAAATAGGAAGACCAAAGTTAAAGTTTAGAAAGGCAACATCTCCATTGAAGCGATCAGATCAGAAGTG